GTAGCCTGGGAGTGAGATGTGTACAGGCAGCTCTCCGAAAGAATCACCCTCAAATGGAATCATCACTACAGGGCAAGCTGAAGCAAGTCCACGAGGGGTTAACACTGCCGCAGAAGCAGCTTCGAGGAACTGGAGAGGCCTGAGAGCCCGAAGCTGGGATCCACACACAGTGGATCCGCAAGGACCTTCCCTCCTAACCTGAGGACACGCGGAAGCGGGGTAGCACATAGTGCGGATGGTCTGAGGAGACGAAATAATGGCCAGCTTGTGAATAATGACAGAAATATTTGATGATGTGACTCTGGGGGAAGCAATTATGGTTAACCCCTCATTTGTTTGGCATTTTCAAAGATTGAACTGCCCCACAAAACTGACTTTTCCAGACAAGTAAAACTTTCCTATTTATGTGTCTTGAATTTTTTTAACCAGGCTTGGTGAAAATATTTCTGAAATAGATTATACCATTTTTCTGCCTTCTTCAACAGAAGGTACAAGAAATAACATTTCTTTAGATGTCAGTGCCTTTGAATGTAAGTCTGAGAAGAGTTGATTAAAAGAGGTTTAAACAGTAAAGGCTGATAAGCATCTCATAAAACAAGAAACCTAGAACTAGGCAGTTCCAGGGATGATCAATTCAGCAGCTCAGTGACACCGCTGACCTCCTCGGAGTCACAAGATGGGTGCTGCAGCTCCAAGCCTCAGGACTTCACATGACAGGGTCAAGATTGGAATGAAATGGGGAATTATTCTTACACATGGCTTTAATCAGAGAGGAAAGTATTTCTCAGAAGACCCCTCACCAACTTCCCCTCAGGTCCCATAGGCACAAGTGAGTCAGATTTCCACATTTGGTTTATGAAAATCTAAGAAAGAGGACATCCAGCGCTTTCAAATTCTGGATGGAAGGAGGGGCTCTGCCCTTAAGAAGGAAGGATGGAAAATGGCTCTTAGGTAGGCAGCCATGGGTGTCTGCACAGTTCCCAAGGAACTGGGGGTCAGGTGGGGTATGTCACTGACTGTGTGGGAAGAGCTCGAGGGCTGACTGCGGTGCACGAGCTCTTGTTTCCTACACTTAGTGGTACCAAACTGGGCTTCTTTTGCCCCTCTTACTCCACCTTTATTTATTACACTCTTCCCTTGCTCCAGGTTGCTAGCTGTCATTATTTGCTGTTGAAGTGCCTTGTCCTCACCTTACCATCATTGTGTTTTGTTCTCTTCTGGAAAAATCATATAATGAAACTTGTTAGAACTATGCCTGAAATGTTCTGAGTATCTGACAGGCTGTCCTACGAATGCAGTGACATTTGGGGGCTGTCGCGAACTAATTTTTCCATTCTTTTGGTGTTTGGAGAAGTAAGGGCTTTCTAGAGAATCTTATGAACTTAGATACCACTCTCCTGGAGTCTTCTTATGGTTGTTAGGATGAGCACTTAGGGTCTGGTACACTACAGCTGTCCACTTGCTCGTCACTGATTTATGGAGAGGCAGTGCCCTGTGCCAGTACACTCTGCTTCCGACAAAGCTAGAAATCCTAGTAGGTGCCACTAGTTCTGGGACCACAACCAGTACAAATCATCCTTGCAGCAACTGTCCAAAACAAGGCTTAAGTATTGCCACTTCTCCCAGAGTCACAGAGCCCTGAGACCCACCCAATTTATGCAGAATTAGACATGTTTAATGTGACTTGTTCCAACAAGTAATTGAAAGTCTGTTGAACAAGTGAGGACCGTCCCTTCCCTGGATAGAGAGCGGACCAAGATTCAGTCTCTGCGTGCAGAAAGAAGGAAGTAGGAAATGATTGAACCAGAGGGAGTGATTCTGCTCCAGGAGCCAAACAGAACCAGTAGGTTGCACAAAACAAATTATCAGTGTTCAGTTTTGATACAGCTGAAACTATGGGTCCAAATTGCTTACAACCGGACAGGAACCTTCAGAGCATGTGAGCCATTTGAAGGCCTAAAGTACGTCGTTTATTATGCATCAGAAAATCATGAATTAGCCTATAGGCAAAAGTTAGGGACAGAGCTTTTTTTTTTTTTTTAAAGTTCTTACTAATTTATACCATTCAGGTAATTCTTATAAGAAAAATGCATGGTGTTTTTCATAAATATTATAGTTATTAAATTATTCTGTGTAGAACATTTTTTAAGAGAGCACCCTTTTGTTAACTATTGACCGAGAGAGGAAGAATACAGCTGAGTTAAGTTGAACAAGATATTTGTGTTTTTAAAATTTTATTTTCTCATACATGTGGATTACTGATTTTTTTTTCTGAAGTGCTCTATTCTTGTTCCCCTAATAATCCAGTTTACTGTGTATGTGAAAAAAATACTAAATTTTAGTATTGGCTTCTCCTACACTTTATTAGCCAAATCTCTGTGGAGAAATAATTATGCAGCTAGGATCACAGTACACATATCAACATACAGTTTTTTGTCTTTTTTAAAAAATTAGAACATCTAAGTGTATTGGCATGCACCTGAAATCCCAGCATTTGAAAGGCTGAGGCAGGAGATCATGAGTTTGAGGTCAACCTGGGCTACATAGCAAATTTGAGGCTAACCTGGACTATATAGTGAAAAAATAAACAAAAAGAAGAAATCAGAACAAGTCACTCACGTAGGTAAATTAGTTACATTCACATCTAAACTTGTTTTTTATGCTAAGTGGGCATTTGACTCAAAGATAGTTCAGAAATAGGTAGAAAAATTGTTTCTTAGCATATCAAAATACTAATACCAGCAATCCGTTTCTTTAAAACAAAATAACAAGGAAAAACAGAGTATATTTTAGCCAGGTACAGTGGCACATACCTACAGTTTCATCTACTCAAGAAGCTGAGGCAGGAGTATTGCTTGAACCTAGGAGTTTGAGGCCAGAACAACATAACAACATTCTATCTCTTAGGACACAAATTTTTAAAGAGTAATTATATTCCAAAGCCCCAAAGAAGCCAATAGCTTAAGAATCACATCCCTGTGTTTTATATTTGGAAGCTTGTATGTTTTTGAACAATTACAGTTAGAGTCAAGGTCATTCATATGTGACAGGCATTTTTTCTAAAATTAAGCAGAAGAAATTAAATAACTAATCAGCAAAGATATAAAAAGTTTAGAAAGCGTATTTGTCGGAAGTGATTGAAGCAGTTACAGATCAAGTTTTGTAAGTGAAGGGACCAGAAAGAGTTTTCTGAATTATTATTTGGATTAGTCTTTTTCATATTTTCTCTTGTTCCTGTGTGCTGTGAAATCTCTGCCTCGACATCAATAGATAAGTATTCAGCTGCCTTATTATGGCGCTCGAGAAGTGGGACTAAAAAGTGGACATTCACAGTCCTGCCCCCCGCTGTGATTGTAGTGTGATTCATCCGTAGAAAGCCCCCACAGCGCTGAGTCAGACAGCATCAGAGTCAAGTGTGCTTAGAGGTCGCGAGGCTTAACCAACTGGATGATTTTTTGTTTCTTGGAAATTTTTGTTGTTGTTGTTTTCTTTTTTTTTTTTTCCAATTTGCTATAAACCTAACTTTTCCTTCAAGAAATCATGTTGGTGGGGCGCTGAGGATTTAGCTCAGCAGCACAGCACCTGCCTGGCAAGTGCGAGGTCGTGAGTTTGATTCCCGATACCAGAAAACAAAACAAAAAGAAAAAAAAAGAAATCATGTTGGTGCTTATAGGCCTCGTCTAAATTGAATGTCACCCCACACTGGGATGAAGATAGATTTATAACTATCTAGTATGTATTCTTTTAATTTATTTACCTCTTGTAGCCAAAAAGATTAACTTTGGCCATTCTTTACATGGAACTTAGGCTTACTAAGATGTAATTATGGCGTAGTGCATGAGTTGTAAGCAAGTTCTACCAGGTCCTTGAGCAGGAGGAGGCATTGTCACACAGTGAGAGCCTAGCGTTTGAATCGTGGTTCTAGACTTGACTCTTGCCCCTGCCTACTATGATATGAGCAAGTTAATCAGCCCCTTGGAGCCTCAAGTTTGCTCATCTGTTACCTGCACATGGTCAAAATAATGTCTCTTTCATGGAGTTTTAATCAACAAATTAAAAGTACCATGAAAATCTAGAAAATTCTATTTTTTTTTTGACAGTGTGTCTGTTCTTTGCCCAAGAAATGGGTAACATTCACACAGACATATGTTATCTACCTTAAAGAATGTGTTACTGAAACAATTTATGTTTTTAATAATGGCTTAATTCACCTAAAGCTAGCGTGTCATTTTATTTTTTAAAAATTAAGCTAAAGAACCCAAAATGAAAAGATAAAGCACTTAATGCATACTAACACTGAAGAGAGGGAGCAGCCATCCTGTACCAGCAGGCATATTGAATGCCTTCATTAGGGAGCTCCCTCTGATTTAGGAGCTATAAATACATGTGGTAACACATATGGAAAAATGGAAATTGCTGAGTATCAAAATCCACTGCTTGATTAGAAGCAGCGTGATAACTTTATTTTTCCTGGTGGTCTAGTTGCTGAATCCCATAAAGCAGAAAGATTAGCACTACCCTTGTTGTCTTTCTTCCAAACCTGTTCTTGTAAAATGACTTCCATCCCACGTCCTCCATCAAATTATAAATGAGGAAGACGCTGCCTAACCCTCAAAGAGTTGTGGCGTAAGAGAGACTGAAAACAGTTACACAGCTAACTTTGCAGTAAAAGTTTGGATGAGGGGCGCAAGGGAGATTGGGTGGCTGGGGTGTTCCTCACACCTCTGCCCCAGCTTCTGTGCCTATTCCACGGAGTTCTGCAGCACTGCACGCCCTGCCTCACACTGCTTATGCTGCACACACATGTGATTTGCCCCCTGGAAGATCTTGCACTTTGGCAAAGCACTTTTGTATTTCTCGGTCCCTGGCTCCACAACTTTGATCTAAGCCTCAACCAGTATAATGTTTCCAATAGTATTGTCCCCTACATTCTGATTTAGCCAAAAAAAAAATCTTAAGCTGTGTTTAGCACTAACTTTCCTTTTTTTCGGTCTTTTCAGTTGATCTGCCCCTGTTTTTTCCTCGAGATCAGCCAACGCTCACATTTCAGTCCATCTATCATTTCACCAACAGTGGACAACTTTACTCCCAAGCCCAAAAAAATTATCCATACAGCCCCAGATGGGACGGAAATGAAATGGCCAAAAGAGCAAAGTAAGTGAATCTATTATTATTTCCTGCAGAGAGGAGCATTTTGTTTGCCTCGTCCAGGGGTTGGCAAGCTATTGCTCACCAGCTAAGTCCTGTTTATTTTTGTAAACAAAGTTTTATTGAAACACGGCAACACCCATCTCTGTACTTACTATCTATGGCTGCCTTCATGCCATAATGGCAGAATAAGCAGTTGCAACAGAGACTTGTGAAGCCAAATTTACTTATTTATTTGGCCCTTTATAGAAGAAGCTTGCCGATGCCCTTATGTAGCCTTATCAGAAGAAACTGACCTAAATCTGAAAATGTTTCCCTGTCCTACTATTTCTGTCGGCCCCCAAATTGGCTATCACTGTATTCAGATTGAAAAAGAAGTGCTAAATAGAAGGTTTAATTGTGGATAAGTGGTGTTGACAATGTTGACAGCTACTTTCATGATTTTTTTAATGGAAAATTTGTGGTTACAGTAAACAAATAAAATTATCACTTAATGGTCAATATGTGGATTTAGTCACTACTCTCTCATGTGCAACTGAAGCTCTTTGAATTATATCTGTCATTACATGTCTGTGATGTATTACAAGTCATTGCACGATGTGGGGACCTGTGTGTTTCTTGAGTGAATAAATAAATCCATGGATTGTTTAAACGAACTAACACCACTGTGGAAGTGGTGATCCGATGTGGGTTAAAGTTGGCTGGTGTTTGGAGTTTAGAGGTACATCTGTTGATCACAGACCTCCCAGTGTGGAAGGCTCTTATCTCAATCGTATAGAATAGGTAAATAGAGAAATACACTGAGTGGTTTTTTGGTATCTGGAAATTGTTGGTATCTATAAGTTTTTATAAACCATGGCCTCCTACATGGAAGTAGCAGTGGATTGAAATGGTAGTTTCCAAAAATAAATAGTTCAGTGGCATGTGGTTATTACTTTATCACTCTGAACAACCATATGCTCACACCTGTGATCCCAGCTGAAGGGATCAGATCCAAAGAATCACACAAATGAAGACTATCTGTTAAGCATCCTCTTTATTTGCTCATCCAATATTTAGTAAGCATCTACCATGTTCCAGGCTTTGTGCTCCATGCTGAGGACATAATAATAAACAGATTAGAAATTGTCCATGGCCTAATGGAATAAGTAGCCCAGCAAGGGCGAGAAATCATATCAAACTTCTGACAGTTTTAAAGTACCCACTGACAAAGCCTGGCCTTCTAGCCTATGGTGTTCTTTATTGTTCTTAGTGTTCTTCCAGCCTATGGTGTTCTTATTCTTGCTCTTGCCTCCACCTCCCTGATACCCCATTCCCTCCCAGGAGGTCTCCTAGCATCTGCCAGTCTCTAGTACAAGACCTTCATATGTAGCAGGCTAGGACTCTTAAATAATGGCACAAGTGGGTTTCTCTAGAAACCCAGACCACACTAGGTTCACACAACTCTCTAGAACCAGAGTTGTGAAACAGCAGTGTGCGCTTTTCCCTTTATATCCATGTCTTCAATGTCTGAAATTCTGCTTAAGGAAAAAGAACAAATGTGCAAATACAGCTAAGAACAATGATGAAGACTTACATATCTTGAAATACAATTTTGAAAAGGAATTGTAAAGTAAGTTTTATGTTTGAAGTATTGCAGTCATTTAATTTTCTGGGCTTTCCCTGTGTATACATAAGCTCTATCCTTGGAAGATGGGCCGTTATTTGTGGTATGTGCTGTGGAGTCTGAACCAGACATGTCTTTGTGGTTTCCATGGCAAAGCTATCTTGGTGTCTGTGTGTATGTGAGTGTGCATGTGTGTGTGTGTGTGTGTGTGTGTTTCTTAAGTAGACATTTTAGTGTGCATGAATTGAGTCTTTAAAGAGCTGCAGACCACAAGCCTGTGATTTCAGTGTAGGAATATTGTAAGTGAAGCCTGTTTATCTTAACAGATTGGTTCAGAGTTTTAAGAGACATTTGCTTTATGTTAACGCCAGTCTAAAGAAAACATCTGAAGTAACGTTAAAAAATCTGCTTTCTACTATAGTGAAGATGACTCTACTTTAAATGTAGTAAAAGAGAAAGCCAGCAGCTCAGGCTAGCAAGGAAAAATAGTTTCAGGCTCCATTCTTCTACTGACCTGAGTACTGTAACTATACGGAGCTGTGTCAGGAGGCCAGGTAATGAGTAAACACAGCCAAAGAACTGTCCCACACTGCAGGCTAGAGGTTGATGGAGAAGCTAGATAAGAAAGGCTCAAAAGAGAGAAAGGTCAACTGTAGCATTGCTTATACACCATTTCTTTGTCCTATGCAAAGACTGTATGCAGGGCATAAAAGACTGTAATTCACTTGGGGAGCTCTGCCCATGAAATAAACACTTTCATGGTTTATGAACAGCCCCAGAGCCCATTGAGTGAAATCAGCTGTTTATCCCTCCTGTGAGCACAATTCTAAACATGTGAATTTAGAAAGGACATTTCCTGGCACTGGCCAGGGCTTTTCTTACCATAGTGCCTTTTGTTCATGGCTATCCAGCACATTCTGTCTTTCACAAGTGAAGTACCCTTTACTGGCTTTGGGGTCATGCATGTCCCAGTTCCTGTTGCAAAGTATAATCCTATAAGCTCTGTGACCTTGGGCAGGGTGCTTAACTTCTCTTAACTTCATCCTGTAGCACAGGATTGCACCCCTCCCCATGGGATGGCCTGTTGTGAGGGGTCAACTGAGGAGTTAACATATGGAAGCCCCTGGGGTTCAGCTTCTACTCTGGGGGTCACATACTGCTTTCGAATCTCTTTTGCTTTACTTTTTAATTTTTCTTTACACCTTTGTGTGTGTTTCCTTAACCAAATCAGGAGTTCTTTGAAGGCAAAGGCTTTCCATGTGTGTATTTTTAATTGCAGTATAATTTACATGTAATTTACAGTGGAGTGGACAGACTTTTTTTTATGAATAGTCTCTGACTTACAATGGATAACTTAAAATCCTTTGACTCTACAATGGTGTGAAAGCAGTTCACATTTAGTAGAAACCATACTTCAGATTTTGTACTTTGATCTTTACCTAGGCTGGCTAAGTGATAGTTAATATCAGTGCTGAACATTGGTGCAGCTGCAGTTCCCAGGGGAAACAATGGACAATCTATAGAGTGTGTTGTGCTCTATGCTATGATGTTCTGTAGTCTAGGTATGTAAATATATTTTTGACTTAATGAGTTTCAATTTACAGTGGGTTTACTGGCATAACCCTCTCATATTTGAGGAGAATCTGTTGTGTGTGTTAATACTATACGTACATATTTAGAAATTTATGTCTTGATAAATTGGTCCTCCTGTCATTATGAAGCATGTATTTCTGATAATCTTCTTTGATTTGAAATCTGCTTTGCTTGAGGTTAAAATAATTGTGCCAACTTTTTTCTGTGCATTTTTATATGGTATAAGTTTTTTTCATCCTTTCTTATTTTATCCTATCTGTGTCTTTACATGTCAAGGAAATGCTTTGTAGACCTTGTTTTTTAAAGTAGTTTGTTTTGTTTTAAAATAGTTTTTTTTTTAAAGAGTTTGATAATCTCTGCCTTTAATGGGGGTATTTGATTAATTTACATTTAATATAATTAATGAGCTCATTAGGTTTAAATCCACCATCTTGCTATTTGTTTTTTAATTTTTTCTGTTCTTTCTTCCTTTGTTCTTTTCTTCTGTTATTCTTTTGATTTATTCACATATTTTAGTATGCCATTCTATCACATCTGTTAGCTTTTCAGATGTACCCCTTGTATTATATTTTAGTTTATACATTAAGAATATATTTTTAACTTACCACAACTATCATTAATATTATAATGCTTCACCTATATATAAAACCCCAAAACTATATACTTCTTTTTCTACCCTCTGTTAGCCTTTGTGCTATAGTATTCATGTTTTACTTATACCTATATTATACATTCCACAGTACATTGTTATTGCTTTGACTTTTCACATTCAACTGGCTTTTAAGGAATTTTTTTTTAAAAAGAAAAATCATATTCGATCTTATTTTATGGTTTCAAATAAAGTTAATAGAGCATCATTTCCTCTCCAAAGAAAACTTACTTTTAAAAACGATCCTCAAAACAATTGAGATCATATCCAAAATAGGAGTCAAGGGCACCAAGGAAAGACACCACCTATGTGCCATGCTGGTGCCTCTGCCTGCCCTGTGGACTTCACCAGGTGCAAGGCACCCTCATCCCTGCGGGCCTGTGGAAACTCATACTGCCCTCCATTAAAACAAACAAAAAACCTGAGGCTCAGAGGGATTCATGGACTTTCCAAGAGCATACCAGTTGCTTCTAGTGGAGTCAGGGCTCAGCCTCAGCCCTCTGAACTTTCTGTACCCAATATCATGGCAGACAGACACAGTGCGTCGCTCTGTGTGACTTGCCAGAGGCTTCGTGCACAGAGGCCTGGCACCTCACTTACAGCAAGGAAGTGCACGTGGCAGTTATGTGTACCTACGCCAAAGCCATGGCAGCTGGGTTTAAAGTTGTTTCTGTTATTCACTAGCCATGTGACTTCAGGGACGTGTATGAACTGCTCAAGTCTTGATCTCCTTGTCTCTAAAATAGTGAAGCCTGATGCAGAGGCTTACTATGAATCTCATATAGGGTGTATAGGTTTTCTCTTGCTAATTAACAAAGTACCAGTAAGGTATCAGTTTCTTCTCATGTTTCTAATCTCTGATATCTGGATCTTCAACCTCTAGACCCAGATTTAAGGTGGTTATTTTATTAGGTCGTTATCTCTTTTTCTTAAAGTCATCTGTGTCATACAATAAACCGGATATCATATAAACATTACCAGAATTAAATCCATCATGTTCATAGTCCTAGGGAATATAGAAGGGGTGGGGAACTTGGGGGATCATTTTAGAATGGTTCCTACTGCACGAGATAAGGCAGATGAATTGTCTAGCATGGTCTGGCACGTTCTGAGCATACAATAAATGTTAACTACCAATGTCTTCATCCCTTGAAGGAA